ACAGGGTTTAGGATAGACAACAAAAAGACAAAATTTAATAAGAGCTACAAAGAACAGAAAATTATTGAGAGCTATGATCGCCAACGTCCTGAAGGAACACGGCACATAGAAGATAAAGAATATTCGATCAAAACGACTAACATTCACCACTGAATTAAGTGCATTAACAAAGAAAATTTTTTGATTGATTTGTTTTTTTACGGCCTATCAACCTAACAAGCAAGGAGATTATGTTGAAACATATTTGTTGTGTAAAATAAATGTAATTTAACATATGTCAAGGTGAAAAGAATTTAGTCAGTAAGAATTCATAATGATAACAAAAAATAAATCACTAAATGACCTCTAACCCTTAGTACTAGACTATGAAGGAGCATCAAACCAAAATAATAAATAATTGATAATAAAATAAAAATTAAAAGTTAAGTAGTGAATGATAAAAATAAATTAAAAAAAAATAGACTATAAAATGTAGTTAAATAAATATGAAAACTCTCATCATGCACCGGAACAGGCGTTTTGCAGCCAATTGAAAGAGAAATCAAATTTTCTTTCTCATTTCCGACGGCGAAAAGAAGCAGATATCCGGAGACAGCCATCCGACAGATAATGTGGCAACTACCAGATAAGCAAAACCTTTTTATCAATAACAATAACAAAAGAAATAGTTACATTATAAAAAAATAGTTAAATTAATATACATATAAGAATACTTTCATAATGCATCAGAACATTCATTTTACTACCAAAAGAAACAAAAATCAAAACTTTCTTTGACTTCGTTTTCCAACAGCTGAAGGAAGCAGACGTGCTAGACAGTTTTGATAAAATATGTTGCCACTGTATGCAAAAACATTTTATCGTTTTTGTTTATGCTTCAGGGGAGGTAACTAAGTATGGCCTCCCGAGAGTTTTAATACATATTTCTTAAAAACTCTCGACACACCATACTTAGTTACCTCCCCTGAAGTGTTAGTAAAGCCAAACACAGTATTCACTCAGCGTTCTTCACTTCACAAATAAAAAAATAATTTTCAGATGAACACAAGAATTTTGTCTTTGAAAATAATGAACAGTACAATATCTGTCTCTAAATAAACAACATCCTGATAATGATATTGGGCTATGCCGAAAGTACTTGGAATAAATAATGTGTATCAAAGGTTGGTAGATTTCTGGTTGCTGCATCCGACTGATAGGAAGGAGCTCGGCTTATTTGGTTTGTTTTACAGCATATCAGCCTCGACGGTTATTTAATGCCGATAAGATTTTTATTGCTGCTAATATTTTTTCCTTCAAAAATGTATTGATGGTAATATTTTTCCTTCAAAAATGTATTTCTGATATTTTTTCCTCAAAAATGTATTGCTGGTAATATTTTTTCATTCAAAAATGTATTGCTGGTATTAAAACCTATTTTTACACTTTCATAGTGTTTTGACCCTAGTTTGGGGGTTAACTATTTACCCATAGTTGGGACCCTAACAGGTGCTACTACCCCGGGTCAGGGTGGATATGGGAACACCAGCAATTAAGAGGTGGTTCCACGACCCCCAAAACCTCCTTATCAGAGGCCTTACTATTGGACGTAGTCTATCGTCTTACCCAGGACGCAAAAGAACTCGGACTTGTTGGTAGCACTCAACGAGGCTTCTCTGATCAACAACGGCATAATATCGGGATATTTGTAGTACCACGTCGAGCATAGGTTGGTGTCCACATTATACTTTAGTCGTAGGTACGTTCTGGCCAGTTTGTATCGCTGTCGACCATATAATGATAAATTATTTGGGCTCTTTTTTGTTCTTCTTCTTAACCAAAATTCTCTCATGACAGATACAATGAAAATAAATACGAGAAAACCAGTAGGCTAAATATTACCTCAACTTGTCTTTCTCCAATATTCATGGTATTCATTCCAATCTTTTCAGCGTTTGCACTTGATGCGGTCTCCAAATATCTTCGCACTAGTTTTAATCTGTTAAAATTTCAAGGTTCTCTAATATTAATATTCTGATGAATCTTAATTCTTAAGTTAATGATTGAATAAGCTCATAGCGAGTTCTACGATAATAAAATAACCGTAGAAATTCCTTTATTGCATCGTTAAATATTTGAGCTTAACAACTTTAACAAAATATTTCGATAACATATATATGAATTTTGGTCGTGGTTTTAAGAATTGAGTAAAAATGAAAAGATTTAAAATTGACAACTTTTTCCATTTCACTGAAAGAGCCATTGAATACTTCTATCTTCTTTCCTTTCTTCCTTCCTCCCTTCCTTTTATTCTTTCTTTTTCTCACTGAAACGAATAGCGCATTTTCCTCTACTCCCACGCGTTCAAAACGGAATAATCCATTGTTTATGAAGGATTAGCAGAACGTAACAGTCGTGCAAACTAACGATTAGAGAAACAAATACAATTATAATAGAAATATTCGGTCGCTACCAGTGCTTCTGGTTTCTTGCTTTCTAGTCGAATTTTGTTTTCAAAAATTTAAATTCAATGTCATTCGTTATCTATTCTTTTATTCTTGCAGCTACTCAATAATGTTTTTCTTTTTCTTTCACACTCAGTAATACCTTGCATCTTAGTGGTTTTATTGAAATATATATATATATATATATATATATATATATATATATATATATATATATATATATCCAAATGTAAAAGAACGAAAAGTAAGATTTCAGCGTTCAAAATATTAATTTAAAACAGGGCTCAATACAAAAGTAGAGCAATAAATATTTATTCATTATGCAGTGTTACATTAGAACATGCACATACCCACTACAAAACTGTATATCTTGTTTCAACGTTAATTTTTTTTAACGTTGAAACAAGATGTAAAAGTTTTGTAGTGGGTATTTGCATGTTCTCCTGTAACACTTCATAATATATATATATATATATATATATATATTGGTAAAGATTGCGTTTTTTCATATTTCTGTAAAGGCTCACATAGTATGAAATCACCTGCAGTGGAAAAATGTTTCGTAAGCAAATCTCGAAAATCGTTTGATAAATTGCTTCAGCATTGTGGCCTTGTGCCACACAGAGTTGCATATGTGTATCTTTTCTCTCTATGCTACTTTCGCAGCCCTCATCCGTACATATCCCCTCTCTTCTTTTTCATACTCTCTCTCACTCTCTCTCAATTACAAGCATGAAAATACCCACTTTCTCTTTTTCCCACACACATATACACACACAAATATACACTCACAAGATCTTTTTTTCTCTCTTTCGCATATTCACATATAAGAACAACATCTCCCTTTCTCTCTCTTTCTGACACAGACGCAACATCACATACCCCATTTTTTAATATGCCGTGTCCTTTCAAAATGTGGGTGATCATAGCTCTCCACAACATCCTATCTTTTGTAGCTCAGTAATATTTGCCTTTTTACTATCCCTCTCTCTTTAACTTCTGCCATTTACACAAGCTCGTTAGTAGGTTACTCCCTATTTTCATCTGTTCATGTGAGTGTTATATTCCCCAAGTCATCTTTTCTTATTGTTAACTATTTCTAATTCTAAGGGTCGGTTTTGTTTCCATTTTTATTAAAGTTTTGCATACATTTAGCAGTGATTTTCAACTAGTGAGCCGCAGCCTACTGGTGTACCCTGAGTGGATGGTAGATATGCCGCGAAAATATGTAAAAGTCATCAAGCTTTTCAATAATCAATATTAAAAATAAACATCGATAAACGGCTAGAATCTTTGGAACAAAATTTAAGAGTATGTCTGTCTAAAAGTCGACCTTTGGGTAAAGGTTAAATTGTTCAACAGAAGTTTAAGTATAGGTACAAGGGTTCCGCTGAGGTTAAGTATAGGTCGAAGGGTGCAGCTGGAATTTAAGAATGGGTTCAAGTTTGCCGAGAGATAAAAATGTTGAAAAACATTGCTCAATTGACTGATATAATTTCAGAAATGCATCGTGTGTAGAGTTCAGAAATTATGTCAATTTTAAATTTTCGAATTCACAAATGTAATTCAATTGAAAGAGATAAAATATGATTAAAGAAATAATTTTGTGCAATCTTGCTGAATGCTGAAGTGATTGATTTATTTGTTTGTTTACGGTTTAACAACCTTTGCATGTTATTTAAAGCTAGAAAAGGGTTTTAGATTTTAAGAATGTTTTGGAAATAATAATGATTTATTGATACATACTCTACTATTTAACCCATAGTTGGGAGAGAAGATACCTCATGTATCAATGGTGAAAGTGTCACTATTAGCAACCTTAGAGAGAGAAAGAGAAATATGAAGATAAAGAGAGTGTATCAGAGAGAGAGAGAGAGAGAGAGAGAGAGAGAGAGAGAGAGAGAGAGAGGCAGAAAAAGAAAGAGAAACATAGAAAGAGAAAAAGAGAAAGAAGCAAAAGAAAGGAAGGAAGGGAAATTAATAAATTTAGAGAAATAAAGAGAGAAAAAAAAGAAAGAAAATGGATGAAAGAAAGAAAGAGAAAGTAAAAGAAAAAGAAAAATATAAATGAAGAGAGAGAACGAGAAAGAGAAAGATTTGTTGGTTGATTCGTTTTTTATGGCTTATCAACTCTTTGCAGGTTATTTAAAGCCAGAGATTATTTCTTTTTAGATTCTAAGAAATTTTTAGACAATAATAATTCAGTGATACAAGTCTTACTAATTAACCGATAGATGGGGGAGAAGTGGCGGATTCATGCCTTTCCCAAGGGTATTTGCGCGTATGTGTATATAACGAATCCGATTGGAATTGGAACTTGGTTCTCCGATTTCCAATTCCAAATCATTAATTATTACACCATCCGCACATCCAAACTTACAGCTCTTGATATTCCCAAGCGGTCACCCATCTAGGTACTGACCAGGCTTGACGTTGTTTAACTTAGGAGGAGGAGAATAGGGAGGACGAAATGATGATATAAGCGGGAGAGGAGGTAGTAGAGATATGTTGAGGAAAAGCGAGGAGAGGAGCACTGCTGCACATCCAAACTTATAATATCAGGTATTCCCAAGGGGTCACCAATCTAGGTACTGACCAGATTCAACTTTGCTTAACTTCGGTGATCGTACCAGAACCAGGGTTTCATGACATGGCCATCATCGTGTATGCACAAGTGAATTGAAAAGGTCAAGGTATGACCTGTGAAAGACATAAAGTAAACGATGAAGAAAGAATGTGAAGCAATGACCAAAGGAAAGAAAGCTAACAGTCACATGATATTTAAGACGCTTACATATGAGCAGTCATTTGCTAGTTATCAGTCATGTAAGTGGTGTGGTTGGTCGTTGTGAGGGTCAATGGCTAACGTCAATAACTTTCAATCGCAACTTGAGGCTACAGTTCAGCATTGTCAGCTAATGAGTCAACATCAAGAACGGAGGAAAAAGTGAAAGAAAGACCCAACAAATCTATGCAGCTGACGTCATTGGCTGGTTTGGCGCCATTTATCATAACTTATGACATCGTAGCTAAACGACATATTCTCTGTTCTTGCTCGGTTGGTCGGTGCGAAGGCCGCGATTTATTCATGACTCTCATCAGTCGGTCATAATAGATTCGGACATGTGGAAATAGCTTTTCAGGCTGTCTGACATAGGAGAGCATCACTGTCCACGCGGATGCTGCCAAGAACTTTACTATTATGTGACAGTCACTATGCTTGAACATTTGGATTTCACTATTTGTTATCGGTAAGAAAAGATATCCTTGAGGATCACAATTGCCCTTTTAAATGTTTATCTCCATCTTTAAATTTAGCATTGAAATTGAAGTACTGCTTGCAAGTTGCATGGAATATTGTTGCCATATATGGTCTAGTGCCCCCGCTGTTCATCTCGAGGTCCTCGACAAAATCCAGAGACGGATATGCAATGTGATAGGTCCTGATCTGGCATCCCGTCTACAGTCACTTTCTCACAGACGTGCTGTGGCTTCCCTCTGTCTTGTCTACAAATATTTACATGGCAACTGCTTTGATGAGCTACTTTCATTGGTACCCAAACTGCATGAATTTAAGCGTGCTATTAGGTTGATATCCGGGTTCCACTCTTTCACTGTCGAAACGGTTAAATGTAGCCGTCTCTTCTACTCCAACAGCTAGCACTTCTCGCCAGTGGAACTCCCTTAATCTTACTGGTTTCTTTGATAGCTATAATTTTCAAATATTCAAATGTAATGTCAATCGACAGCTTCTGATGCTTTGATCTCGATCCTCGTCATTCTCTTTATCCTTTCCTCAAACCCCCCCTCTTTACTCTTGCTCTCGTTCTCTGTAACCCCTTGCGTGCTAGTGGCACTCCCGCCTTGCTTGGGGTGATATGCTTAAAAAGTATCTAATGCCTGAAATTTAATATTGTACACATAGATACACGTTCGTTATATATAAATATATACATTAAGAACATATTTATTACAAGAAATGTATCATTTCCTCGCAAGCAAGGCGAGAATGCCACTAGTACGCAGAGGGTTACAGGAAATAAAAGTGAGAGAAAAGATTGAGTATAGAGAGGGTTGAGAAAAGAACCAAAGGATTCAAGAACAGAAGGCGACAATGGATGCTGCATTTAAGTTTTATAAGATTGTAGTTACCAGCGAAGCAAGTAAACAGAAGGGAGTTCCACAGGTGGGAAGTGTGAAAAAAGAAACTGTTGGAGTAGAAATGGCAGTTTCATTTAGCTATTTTAACAGGAAAAAGGTGGGACCTAGATGCCAATCTGGTAGCACGCTTAAATTTGTGTAGTGGGAGCACCAGGGTAAAAAAGCTTATCAGAGCAGTTGCCATGAAAATATTTGTAGAAAAGACAGAGGGAAGTCACGCCACGTCGGTGAGAAAGTGACTGAAGTCGAGATGTTAAGAGAGGCTCGATACATAATATACTTATACACATGTAACATCTGGCGGGATATGACGCAGAATGAATATTTTAAACCGAATTTTTTTTTCCTTAATAATCTTTGCTGGACGATATACGAATTGTATGCTTGATTAGCAATAGCAACACAATCTCTTAATGAACATGAAAACTTATAAAAAGTTTGTGGTTAGTAATGACGATATTTAACGGAAGCTATTATTAAATGGAATAAAGTAACAAGTTTTCAGTTTTTGTAGCATTTTGAATTATAATAAAACAGAATAATTTAATTTTTTTATAATCGTGGAATGGCCGAAAAGTTCATTCGTTTTATTAGGTAAAAACAAAAGACATTAAAAAAAAATTCATCATTCAACGAATTGAACAACTTGTTTACTATTTGGTTCCACGTTTCACACAACTTCATAATTCCAAACTCGCAGATGTTTTATCTTTCTCAGCTGAGAAGTTCAAGGCGTAGTGACTTCTGGAAAGAGCGGACGAGCGAAATCTCCCTCGTTAAACTGCAGACATTTTTGCCTTATCACTTGAGAGAAATCTGGTCTCGAGTTACGAAATCTTACGCTATTTCGAACGCTTTTCATTGATTACTGTTTTGAATTGTTCTAATTGAAAGCTGTACTTGTTCGAATCAATCGTTTGGTTCGCCACATATCTAATGGATGTCAGCTATCAGTTATCTCCCGTTAATTCCCCTCTCCAAGTTCTATAACACCCAGAAATTCATACACAGATGTCTTCAAGGACACATAGCACAGTGGATAAAGACGTTAGTTAGATCCAGTGACAGGACTCAAAGGTTAACTGTTAAGGCAGTGGAGAACTTGAAGAGGGGAATTAACAGGAGATAACTGATAACTGACATTTCACGTGGAAGTAGAACAGTCTACCCCAGCGAGTGAAATAAAGAGTTCAGTTCGGCATTCCAACCACCTGAAGAAGGCCGGGGCGTACGACGGTCGAAACGTTGTGATAAATATGGCAACAAAGATGAAGACAATAGTCTGAATAATGTAAATAGTGTACAATTTTGATACATTCGATTAGTCACACTACATTCATAAAGTGTACACGTCTTTTTGTGTTTCGGTTGCTTTTATTTTATTTTAATTTAATTTTTAAAATAAAAATGCATAATCTACTGTAAATTTTATTTCCTTTCTTCTCCAATGTTAGAATCGACCCCCTCCTTCACATACAAATACACAAACACATACACAAACATATACAAATACAAGAGCGCACATACATACAGATAGACACACAAGTACACGCTCAAACACAAACGCACACAGACACAGGCACATATAAACACACACACACGCACACAGACACACACAAACGCACGCACACACAGAGACACACATACAAACACAGACAAACACACACACACAAACATGCGCGCACACACAGACACACACAGACGCACTCACACACACACAAACACCTACACACGTGCGCACACGCACACATATTCATATTACTATAAACGTTATACTTATTGGATATACATATTTAAGCTGACCTTCCGCTTTTTATTTAAACAATGAAATTTATGGATACCGGCCTAGTGATCGAAAGTTTCACTAAAGAAAATGAGTCTCCCAATACAAATAAGACTTTCACACTCTTGGCTGATAGACATTAATTTCAGGGTTTAAAAAGAAAGAAACGGAACAACGGAGGCGTCTAGACAAACACCTGTATCAATAATTTATATAAATCTCTCTCTATATATTAATAAACATACATACCTCACCGGTAGTACGACTCAGAGTTTCAGTACATCGTAATCTTTAGGTGCTGAGTAGAGACCTGCCGTTACATAAATTAAATTTTAATAAAAATATCTGGTTAATGCAATGCTGGGGGATTGCTGGTTTTATTTAAATTTTATTGACACAACCACTCAGTGGGCAATATCTCTCTCTCTCTCTCTCTCACACACACACACACACACACATATATATATATATGTAACCAATTATAGAATTGGTTATACGGAATAAATTCCAATAAACAACAAATACTATTCTTAAAAGAATGCTCAATACAGAGTAGAGCAAATATAATTATTTATTCGAAAATTGTATTGTAGAATCTACATTCAACACCATCACTTGATAAGACACCAGGAGTGTTGAAACAAAATGGCTATTTTTGTAGTGATTTTATAACATATTTATGTTACAATTTTCGAATGAATAATTATATATATATATATATATATATATAATAAGATGGAAAAAGTCTTTAATCCTAAGGAATAAAGCGATGTTTATGTTGGTGTAACTACGCATGCGCACGAAGGAGGGAAGATACTGAAATTTTAAATATGTGTTTGTGTATATAGTCTTGTCAATTTCATTTAGTTTTTGTTTTATCACTTTTGATATTAAGTATCCCACATTGTGATAATCGATCTGCCAAGAAAGGTTAAATGTTGCATGAACCTGAACGCAAATTTACTGTGGATGATCTAGCGATTAAAGCACTTTCTATATGCTATCGTCTCTTTCTCTTTTAATTGGAGAATCGTTTTTTAAAATCAAAATTTTGGTCTTCTCAATACAATGAGCAACTAATGTATTTAGTGTGTTGTTTTGCAAAAGATTTCCTTTGTGTTTAAATAAACGTTCATTTAAATTTCTCGAGGTTTCTCCTATATATTCCTTTTGGCAATTATTTTAGGTGATAAAGTAAATCCCTCCTTCAAGATATAACTTATTATTTTTGTATTAATTAAAACTCTTATTATTTTAGAAGCAGTTGTAACAAATTTTATGTTAAGCAGAAATAAATTCTTTTCAATTCGAATTCCAGTCGAATACATTACATTGACTTACGTGTTGGGAAAGGTATGAATCCCTTTCTTCTCCCCTCAGCTATGGGTAAATAGCAGGACAGACCGGGTTCTATAGCCTTGGCTGGCAACTGGTCTACTGCAGAAAGAAATGGCAACCTACTGCGGGAAAAATATGCCTCGTCAGTCATGTATCGAAAGATATATGATCGCCTAAGCATGTATCACGTATGGCAAATACTGACTGACTGAATCCCAGAGGGGACCCGAAGTAACTTTTTAAATGAGTAAATTTTTTTTAGCAGAATTGATGTTTTTTTTTAAGTGTTTGTTAGTAAAATAAGTCTATTTTGGTGATTGAATCATAAGCCAATGGGTTGAAGTATCTAAAGTTGGCCTTAGAATATG